TGTGATACTTTATGCATAGTTTGACACGTAGAGTGAAGTACAGTATGTACACTCCGTCACAAGCACAGTCTAAGAAATTTGAAGCCTGCACATTTCCTGAAAACTGAGCAATTCATAAAGCAAGAAATAACAATCAGTGCACAAAATTTCGTACAGCTTGAACATATCATACATTCTCACTCCTTTTCAGTATAAGGCTTCCATTTGTCCGCCTGGTATATTGGTGGCACATGGTGTTGTCACTATGGCAACTGCTGAGCTCCTTACCACTTGATGTGGGTAGCTTGAAAATCAATGGTCTCTCTTATGTCCAGTTTTCTTAGAAGAAAAAAAAGAGTCATGAGGAGGGTAAGAGAGAAATGGTTAAATGAAAATAGGTTCAATAAACAAAAGTGTTTTTAACCATACCTTGTGAGTATTTTGGCTTATGAGCTTGCTTTCGGTGATGACACATTTCCCACTGACTTGAGGTATGTTCAGCGGTGAAGCATCTAAGTGTACACTGATATGAGCAGTTCCTTGGAAGCTGCAGTTTGATTGTAGGACAAAAAACAATCTTGGTTACTATGATAGAAGAATGTATATGGGAACACTGCATATAAGAAAGGGCCCATGGATATATTACTATTTTGTTGAATTTGTCTTGTGGATGGCATTTTAATGAATTTGTTTTAGTGACATTCTTCAGAGAAGAAAGCTAAATAATTGCCCAAATGGATGAACTATATGGTTCATGCAAATGTAATATGCTTGATTTGAAACTTACAAAAAATGTAGAAATACATATATGTACTAAAGGTTCACGTGGCTCTACCATTCATTGAATTTATGAGCATATAATGCAGTATGGTCAGTTTCAGCAGAAACAGCTGTAACTTAAGCAGTGATGATGTCATCTATGTTACAAAGTTTAGCAGTGAAGTATTTTCAGCGAATGTGACAACAAAGTAAACAATCTAAATATTCATAAGGTGTGCATCTCATTAGCTGTACAAGTCGAAAAGCCTCATGAAATCACAAAAACTGTAGCGCATTCAAAAGAAAGGGGCAATGTTTAGATGCAAGGCAGCGCATCTTCACTCACCGGTTAGCACGCCCACATTGTGCATGAATATTCCGTTTTCGTAGGCACTCTCGAAGCCATTTGCCGGCGTTGAATTTTCATGCTGAAGGCAATGCAGCCGGATGCCAATAAAGCACAGAAGCTGACATGGGTCACAGGTTTTAGACATGTTTGCTTCATCGTAGCGCCACGTATAATCTGACACAAAAGCTTGCATTGATACATCAAAGCTGAATTAAAACGGAGCTTCGTAATGTCTATCGATAAAAAGCACCGCGGCTAACTGCGGTACCATTTGAACAAATTAACCGACAGAAACGCAATCGATGGCAATGAGCTCCTGCTCTTCAAACATCAATACAATCTCAATACTTGAACTCATTCACTTCTCTTGTATTAGTATTAAAGGTAATACAAAAATACTTTCCTCAATTGTTATGAAAAACAACGCGGTAACAAATTTTTTTACTGTTTTTTTATACATCCTGAAATAAAAATTTTTGCGGCGTTGAGCGCCCCTAACAAGGAAAATGCACACTCTCTTACCCGGCTGCTAAAAAAGAAGTGAGTAGTTCCTCTATACGCGCACATGATGAAACTCGCCACGGTCGATTTTTTTGCCCTCTAAGGCCATCGCTGGAACTTGAAAGTTTCCGGGGCTTGCTATCACTGTGACCAGGCCTGCTTAACATATGAAGCTTAACGTTATAAAAAAAGTCATGCCAATAGCCATGCCATCACAAACACTGATAGTGAAAAATTGACTCAGAATAGTAAGCAAAAGCGAAATGTAATAATGAATGTACAAAGCACGCTGCGTGTACCTTTGATACCCCATTCTAAGTGGAGCCGCCCTTGACTAGTGAAATGTACTTTGACCCGACAAGCACTACGGCATCTATGCTTAACAAAGACTAATCATAACGATGTCTTCTCAGTTTGGGCAGGTCGTCGCAATGATGCATTTTCGAAGACTAGTCCACTCAATGGTGTGACGAGGGGCCATTTCTCCAAAGGGCCAGTGTACCTGTAGTTTACTGCAGTTAGATCACATTTAGTTACGCTCTTCACAAGTGCATAAATGAGGAGGGTGGGACGGGAGTCTTACAAGTTTCATATACATGAACACAATCTGCTTAAACTACTGCCGATTGTCACACCACATAGAAAAGCTGATGCTTGTCCCCCCCCCCCAAAAAAAATTCTGGATACGCCCCTGATAACATCGCATTGTGATCGCAAGAAACTTTGGTCTTTATAATTACGTATCTTTGCATTTTCTAAATAAAATGACTAAAAAGACATTGTCCAACAAACACTTCGGTCTTTAAAATTACATATATCTATGCATTTTCCAAATTAAAATACACCCTGCCTAACATATTGATTTTGTGCCTCAAGTATACATAGTATTAGCTTTTTGACAATGTTCTCAAGTATGAAAACATCCACCAAATCAAGATGGGTGGGCTTTGAGCCCAGAGTTAAACTTTCACCATGTGTCTGAATCTTTGGCCAGACACCATGGACAGACCAAAATCTTTAGGTTGAACTATCTCATGAAAGACTATAGTCTTAAAAAAACAGTTTTCGCGCACCTTGTCGCATTATAGGTCACAGCAGAAAGCGGAAAGATTAAAGCACGTAGAATGGTATAGCAGCCGTCAGCTAATACCTGTCAGAGGTAGTGCGCGCCCTTGTCATCGAAGTTCACAGTTGCGGCTCGAGGCACACATCCCCTGCACCGTGGCGTCCCAGCGTACTCTTTCCTCCAACAAAAAAAACGGACAGTGCTTCCTTTCTGGTTGAGGAGCAAATCAACGACAGGCCTCGCACGAAAAGGGAAGCTATTGCATATTTACACATATGCTCTCCATAAGACTAAAAGCTTGTTTCGTGATGATGACATGTGGTACATTATGGCACAAGAGCCAGGGGTGGCCAAAGAGTGCCAGGCCAAGGTAGGGGATGTGATCAGCAGTGTTGTTAGATGGCTGTATAAGGGCCTAAATCGTTCACATTAAAATGCGCAAAACATAAAATTCCTAAAATCATGGTGATGTGAATTGTGTGTTGTGATGATAGACGAGTAGTGCTTACAATACAATAGAGTGTAGAGGTATCATGAAAGGTTCACAAATGCCCTTGAGACCAAGGGCCCTAAGGTACATGCTTTCTTTGAATAAAACTACCACCGCATGAATCTTTTCCAAGAGGCCGTGCTAGCGGATCACCTGCGTAGATGACGTGAAAACTTTGAAGCTCCTTTAAGTCACCTAAAAGACATTCCAACTTAAAAGATCGAATCCTCGCCTTGGAACATTGTTGGGTGTAGTGGGACTTGCTGTTGAAATGGTACCGGAAAATTTTCCTCCTACATGCTTCATGTTCCCAGCAATTCAGCATGATATGTGAAAGACTGAGAGTGGCTGGCCATATTTATGAAAGCTGGGTGGCTCTTTATCAGAAAAAAGGTATGTGTGTGTGCTGTGTGTAAGGCCTATTCTAAGTCTGCATAATGTTATTTCAGGGTGGCGTGTCTATGCAGAGGGTGTTCAGTTATTGAGGTCTGGCTTAATTGTGTGTAACATTGTGAATATCTATATCCCACAATATTTGCCAGAAGGCTCAAGGTTTTTTGTAAAATGGGCTTCGAGTCCATTCGAGGAACAGTATGTATTATTAGAAGCATTTACATAGGCAGAATTAAGACATCAGAATTCAATCAACCGAACAAACAAGCAGGATTACGAACAGGCTTTTCAACAATCAACCACATTCATACTAATATTCAATCAAGTAATAAAGAAATTCTCAGAATAGAGTCAACCACTGTACATAGCCTTCATTGATTACAAGAAGGCGTTTGATTCAGTAGATATATCAGCAGCCATTCAGACACTGTGAGATCAGCGTGTCCATGAAGCATACATAAACATCCTCGAAGAAATCTACAGGGGTCAACTGCCCCCATAGTGCTCTATAAAGAAAGCGACAAAATACCAATCAAGAAGGATGTAAGGCAAGGGGATACAATCTCTGCAATGCTATTTACCGCGTGCTTACAGGAGGTTGTCGGAGGCCTAGAATAGGACGAGTTAGGAATAAGATTTAATGGAGAGTACCTTAGTGACCTGAGCTTCGCCGATGACATTCCATTGCTGAGTAACTCAGGGAACGAATTGCAACTCACGATAACGGAGTTAGACAAAGAGAGCAAAAAGGTAGGTCTTAAAATTATTCTGCAGAAAACGAAAGTAATGTACAACAACCTCGGAAGAGAGAAGCACTTTTAGATAGGTAATAGTGCACTTAAAGTTGTAAAAGACTACGTTTACTTAGGACAGGTTATAAACCTCGGAGCCAAACCACGAGATTGAAGTAACCAGAAGGATAAGAATGGGTGCAGCACATTTGGCAAGCACTTTCAAATCATGACTGGTAGATTGCCACTATCCCTCAAGAGGAAGGTCTATAACAACTGCATCTTCCCGGTACTTACCTACGTAGCAGAAACTTGGAGACTTACAAAGAGGGTTCAGCTTAAACTGAGGACAATGCAACAAGCAATTGAAACGAAAATGATAGGTGTAAGCTTAAGATCAAGAAGAGAGCAGAGTGGATCAGGCAACAAACAGGGGTTAAGGATATCATAGTTGAAATCAAGAAGAGGAAATGAAAATTGGCAGGGCATGTAGCGCGCAGGCAGGATAACTGCTGGTCATTATGGGTAACAGGCTGGATTCCCAGCGAAGGCAAGCAGTTTGGGCGGAGACAGAAAGTTAGGCAGGCAGATGAGACTGAGAAGTTTGGGGGTATAAAGTGGCAGCAGCAAGCACAGGACTGAGTTGACTGGCGGAACATGGGAGAATCCTTTGTCCAGCAGTGGACGCAGTCAGACTGATCATGATGATATGTGGACAGAAGTCGCTATCTCATGGGCTAAGACATTTATTTGCAGTCTTTATGTCCAGGCACACAGCACAACAAAATATATTGGCCGGATATATACATAGTACAAAGTAAACAAACAGTTCCATCACTTTGAGGTTTTTATTCTTTTGGAGAGAAATGATGGTGCATATAATTGATTTTTCCAACTTATCCTGGCCGATATGTTTCACAGCAGTCAACAGAGCAATAGCTTCTGCTGTGAAGATGCTTGTTTCTGGGTGTAGAGTAGCAGAGTCTGTAAATGAACTCCCAATCCCAGCACAATGTACGCCGGCAGGCGACTTGGAAGCAACAGTGAAAAACTCGGAACAGAAGTACTTTGCCTGCAGTTCAAGAAAGTGCATACGTATGTGTGGTTGTGGCGCATGCTTGGAGGTTTTAATGAAGGATATGTAGCAGTCAATTCGCTGACACTGCCATGATGGGAATGATCTCCCCAGAGGCATCATTCAGAGAGTAAAAATCGAGACATTCGTTTTTCAGTGAGCTTCTTGACTTCAAGTGAGAAAGGCTCTTTCACTGTAGATCGATTGAGTCTGGAAGATCGAGTACCCTTCACAGTGAAATAAGCAGAGTGGTCTAATTGTGCATTCCCTTTGGGAAAATATGTATTGCATGACGGTTGAAAACCGAATGACCAATAATTTGATTCTACGTAGAGACTTTGAACGCGGCTCGTCCTGAAGGCAACAGTGGCTAGGCAGATGCCCAAACATTAGATCCGACCAAGGATTGTCAGCGTTTTTGGTGTCCCAGGGTGATACACCACACTTTTATAGCCCGAACGTGTCTTCACATTACTCCTGTATAGATCCATTAAGCACTTCCCGTCACTTCTCTGTGTTGTGTGTGACAATATTTTTAGTATATCCATTGTTCTTAGGCACTTAGTACTAAGGAACTTCATATGTCTCCACTCGTGCCGAAACGTTGTGGGGACAGTGAAAGTGCTGGTTATTTTTTGCCCTAAATCCTCACGAATATCCTGAAAAAATGACATAGGAGCTATGTGACTTCACATATACAAACACTAGAATCCACCAAGTCTACAAAAGAGTGGGACGAGTTGCAAGAATCGTGAGAGTAGAACTTATTATTAAATTCATAGATCATTTCAATTTATTATGATGCCATTCATTGTATTCATTTATTTTACATTTATATTTCACCGTGTTCCTCCTCCTGATCTATCCAGGTGAGTGCGTAGCACTTGAATAATAAGATATACAGCATAAGAGATACATGCAAAAAATTATTATGTCAATTGTTTCACTTTGCAGAAAAACAAACAAAATGTTCACTTCCTGCAGTGCTGACACTGCAATACAAAAGTTCCGTTACAAGGGCCCAACAAGCCCTTGTCACTGCAAAAAAAAAAAAGCATGAATAAAGTGCTATGAATGCATGATGACGTTATGCAGGGGCCTTAGTTTGGTAATAATCCTTGGAATTCTGTACTTCCTCAACAACAGCATTGTAATTTTCCATGTCTGAAAACAGATAAAAATATGTGACAGTTTAGGGCAAATGCACCAGTAAATCACTATTTAACAGAGCCATTTCAAGCACGAATGCATTACATATGCAAGCTTGACAGAGCAAAACAGCCATCGATTTATGAAACATTCAACTACTTTTGCCGCCCCTCAACACAGTAAAGTAGTAGAGCGGAAAGATACTGTAATCATACAATACATATTGCTTTCTAACTTTTAACCGTTAGTGAGCAAGGCTCCAAATGTGGCGGCATTCACCACTGGGTAAAGCCCTTAAAAAAATAGCAATATGAAATGTAACCTCGATGAGTAGTCCTGTGCAGCTTTCCTTGATAGGCTGGTCCTAGAACCCCTTCTTTTTGAGCAAAGTTACTGTACGTCATATTTTTTCATTTTTTGAACACTGCCATGATGTTGTATATAGTAATACAAATATATATATATATATATATACACTTATTGGCCAGCTGTTCACTCGTAACAAGTTCCCGTGCTACGTGACACCAAAAAAGCTCAAAAGAGTGTGCCACTTTCGCCGCCATGGCTACTGGTGGCGCTGACTGACTCTCCCACGTTTAATTGATATATTAACCCTATAAAGTGGCTGGGGGAATAGCTGTCGAGGTAGCTCAGTGATAGAGCATAGAATGCATCATTCAAAGGTCGCAGGTTCGGATCCTGCCCACGGCAAGTTATCTTTTCACCCGCTTTTCTTCATATTTATATTACAATTTGGTCTAATATCGTCCCCCATACTTTCCTTGGCATTATTGTCTGTTAGATCTCATTATTATTGTGTAAAAATGCGGAAAAAATGAGCCCTTAGGTATACAATTCTTTCCTTAATTCATTAACCAGAGTCTCGTACTGGCAGACTTAGTGCCTTTAGGTTGTATATGAGGGACTATTGCACAGCTGCCCAGTCGTAACAAGTTCACGTGGTAGCTGAAGCCAAACAGGCTCAAAAGAGTGTGCCACACTCACCGCCATTGCTACTGGTGGTGCTGATTGACACTCCCACCCACGTTTAATTCACATATAAACCCTCTAAAGTGGCTGGGGGGACAGGTGTCGTGGTAGCTCAGTGGTAGAGCATCGAACGCGTCATTCGAAGGTCGCAGGTTCGGATCCTGCCCGCGGCAAGTTATCTTTTCACCCACTTTTCTTCATATTTACATTAAAATTCGGTCTAATATCTTCCCCTATACTTTCCTCTGCATTATTGTCTGTTAGATCTCATTATTATTGTGTAAAAACACAGAAAAATGAGCCCTTAAGTATATATATATATATATATATATATATATATATATATATATATAAGTTTCACCAGAAGCAAGAAGCAATGAATGCGATAGCAACAAATTGCAAGGCTCGCACTCAACCCTTTCAGATCCAATATCGTGCAACTCTACAAAACATTGGTGTAAGAGCGAACGGCCGTACCAATGAGAGATGGTCCTTTTGCAGCCTCTATGCACCAATAGCGCAGCCTTATAGAGGTGTTCATGAGCCATTTGCACTGATGCCTGCTGTGATGACACGTGCGCATACCAATCGCTACCACGTCCTTAGAATAAATGTTCGAGGCTGCTGCTAGAGTGATCAGAGCCTTTACGAAATCCAAACTACAGCCCTTTCTATGAAAGGGAAAAGACGGTGTTTTGTAAATAACATGGTAAATACACTCCTGAGCAAGAGGCTTGTTGGCTGTCACACCTTGCGGCTAAATTCGGGTGCTGCGGTGCAGGGCGGAGCTGATAAGTAAGTTTGGTGCAGCAGGAGTGGTACAGCACGGGATGGCTCAGTAAGTTAATTTTTGCAAACAGTGGGGCAAATGCACGAGCTGTTCCACCCCTGTATCTTTTATGCAAGCAACAGAAGCAAAGATTGCAACCATTATAGGTTTTCAAAAAAACAAAAACAAAAACTTCTGCTCTAGGTGATGATGACATCTCACTATTGCCTGTAAAGAATTCCATCGTTTGCTTGATATAATCATTCACTTATACACCTAAGCAGATGTTGGCTACTATTGATTGATTTGTGGGGTTTAACGTCCCAAAACCACCATATGTTTATGAGAGACGCCGTAGTGGAGGGCGCTGGAAATTTCGACCACCTGAGGTTCTTTAACGTGCACCCAAATCTGAGTACACGGGCTTACAATTTTCGCCTCCATCGGAAATGCAGCCGCCACAACCGGGATTTGATCCCGCGACCTGCGGGTCAGCAGCCGAGTAACTTAGCCACTAGACTACCGTGGCGGGGCATGTTCGCTACTGGATTTCTAAATAAATTAAAGATAGCCCGTGTTAACGCGATAGCATTAAAGTGCTCGTTTCACAGAAATATCGGCCTCAGCGTCATTGCTTGTGAATGGAAAGTCATCATCTTTCCATGACCGAATTGAGCACCTTTGCATGATTGAAAAATAGAGAAAGATACAAATAAAATAATAAAAAATTCTGGGATTGAGTGGGGATCGAACTTAGAGGATATGCATCGTAAGTGGGTTTTCTACCAAACAGCCATGCCTCTACTCAGAAATACAGTGAAAATAACTTCCTGTGCTTCTAAATGCAGTGAAAGTAATACTTGTGCTTTACAAACACACACATCCTGTGTACATGCTTTACAATTCATCATAAAATATTGCTGTAATAATGTGCAGTACAAGTGTACATTGCCATTGAGTGTCAGAAAATTAGATTATCATAATGACTTCATAGTTTAAAGCCAGTCACCCACTACAAAGGGCCAACACACTACTACACCATTAAGGCCACATAGTGGATGCATAGCAAGTACGAAAAGATTTTATACACTAAGTGTGTGAAGCAAGCACTAGGACCAGATTATCACTGTTGCGTTCAACTATTAAAGGCAAAGCTTCAAGGTCCTCCAATTTTTACTGTTGTTTTCAAAGGTGGAAAGAAAACATAGGTTGGTATTTACGGGCCAACGCTAGTTAGGCCAAGTTTTTCTAATGTTGCAAAAAGAATTTATATGTTTCTTTAGCTACCATGTCACAAATAATGAATAAGTGATTATCAATACAGTTTTCAACCAAGGAAGTAGACTGACATCGCACCACTTCATATAAAACTGTCTTCACTCAAAACACTTAAATGAAACACTTCACTATTGGTCTATTCTTTGACTTCAGGAAAGTGTTTCATTCAGTTCAACATGATATTATCTTAGTAAATTTAGAAATCTATGGAATTCGTCGCATTGCTAAAAGCCTTATGGAACGCTACTTGACTAAACGACAACAATACTGCAATGGAGATGTGCGAGTGTACGGGACACAAAAGTAGTGGAGCTGGCGCTTATGGTTAGGCAAACCGGACTGGGCTTGTCCTGCAAGTCCTGCTGTCCGGCCATTTCATCACAACTGTAAATAAACCCATTTCTTCTTAACAATCTATAAAACTACATAACCACACTTACTCTAACAACAAAACACTGAAATATGGTGTACCTCAGGGCAGTATAATAAGACCTTTCCTAATCACTGAGACATGAATGATATAATAAGCATTCCTTCATCTTGAATGTTATCCTATATACAGACAGCACTAACATCTTTTTTTTCAGGCTTTTATCTAATAGAACTTGAGCAGAGAGAAAATAGTTGGCTTGAAAAATTAGACTGATAGTTGAGAGTAAATCCACTGAGATTAAACATAAAAAATGCTCGTTTTATTCTATTTAGTCCTAAAAACAAAGCAAGCAACAATCCCAAATTAGTTAAAAAAAAGAACATGAAAGAATCTGCTGCTGGACCTGTTAGTACATGCTTGAAGATACGCAAACCAGCTTAAGGATGCGTACACAAGAGGGCCTCTGTCATAGCATCTTCTTGTGTAAGCGCCATTAGGCTGGTTTCTAAATGCAAAGCGTTTTTTCGCATACTGCTAGCACATTTCGTGTGTCTATTTATCAATCTAGGCGCCTACATCTAGGTGCTCTCGTCATCACCCCCTTAAGTTGGGGACAAACCATGATTTGTGAGGGAGGAAACATGGTTTGACAAACATGAGTCGCTAGTCAAGCATAGCGCCCGGATCGTCAACACGGATGATAGCCACACAAAACACTAACCGCTCAACACTGGCCTGGTGTTTTCTTTACAAAACCAGTGGAAAAAACGCCGCAGCCACACAAACTGCAGGAAGAATGAAGACGAAGAGAGAGACGCCACTAAATTAAGTCGCTAGCTTTGACGCCGGCGAAATGGTCACCCCTGAGAAAAAGACCAAATCAGTCCCGAAACATAAGGCCAGTGCTTGGTTTTAATTTTATCATTAATTTTAACACAGCGGCTGAAGAGTTTGTTCTATTCGTACACGATTTGGGAGTGTACTTCAGTGTTTTAGAGCAGCTCAGGAAGCAGAAAATAATGCTGCTTTGGAGCAGCTTTGGCGCAGTAAAAAGGGAGTGTCAGAGCAGGTTCGGAGAACCAAAAAGTGTGTTTTGAAGAAACAAAAATTAGTTTTGGAGCAGATTTCTAGGGTCAAACATCATTATCAATCAAAATTATTTCTGTTGTTAAAAGTTTCAATAGTTACACCCATAGAGTTTCACACAGTAATACCTAGAAAGGAATTTGGCCCTCCGATCCTATATCTCCATGAGAATTATGGGAAGTACAGGCTTCGGATTGATAGGGTCAGTTAGCGAACTATCTACAGATCTTTTTCTACAGTTTCAGTTTCATTCTTTGCCCAGTGCAAGTGGTGGGGTGCAGTGAAATGCACTGAAGCAGCGCCACTGTTGTTCAAAGAGGCTTAAGACCACTAGGTCTGAAATTTCCTGTGACGTTGAAGCTTTGCGAGTTGTATTTGACAGTTAAAACGAAGTGTCGTCCACTCAGCGCTGTGCATAGACGTAACGTCTCATGCCAGAGCAGAATATTCCATCGAGTTCATGCTTTTTAACGAGCGCGTCTTTCCTCAACTCGTTTTAAATAGACTGCAAAACGATGA